CCGCTGGAGCCCCCCCACATGCTGACTACCTACCAGACCACCCCAACCCGACCCGAAGACCCGAATCTCGGGTTAGGGGGAGGGCAAGGGTTTCATATGTGTTTTCTAGATATCTCCCGACCCCCCCCCCCACTAGAGATCGAGGGTAAATTTGAGCCTTCGGGTTGGGTTGGGCTGGTTTGGTGGGTGGTGAGCAGCAGTCCAGCGGCGCCTTCAGGCTGCTGCTGCTGCTGCTGCTGCTGCTGCTGCTGCAGCCGCTCCGCCCTGTCCCGGCCACGGGGGTTTCTGGTGTCATCGCCGTGTGTCTCTGACGATGGGTGTAGCTCGGCCTCTCGTCGACGTGCCTTGGCGGGGTCGCTCCCTCCTCAGTGTCGGGCCATCAGTCGAGCGCACCTGGGGCTCAGGGAAGACCACGCAGGCTGGGCGGCTCGAAGCCAGTGTCCCTCACGCACCCCCTGCCAACGGCACATGCTTGTGCTGCATCGCTCCCTGGGAGCTCGAGCGAGCACGTGTGTGGTGGGTGGACGCCTATCTCTGTCGTCGCCGAGCACGTCCGCCCATACTCCCACTAGCCCTGGGCGTGAGTGGTTTTGGGAGTATCCTCTTCACCCCCCGCCAGACAGCGCCGACCACGACGCACATATTATATGATTTCTCGGTGCGCGCGTCGCTCATAGGGGGGGGGGGGGGGGCGACGCACACATAGTATTAGTCTGTTGGGGTGACGCCGATATCAGCCTCATCATCCTTGCCAGGATGAGCCCGACGTGCACGGACGCTGCGGTCGTCAGGGGCCCTCCCGTCGACGACCTCCCCCGTGCTGGAGGGCGAGCATGCTCCGACCAGAACTCGCCGTCGCCCGCACACGCACTCGTGGCTGTTAGTCTTCGGTGCGCACTCATGGGAGCCTCCCATACCATCTTGTCCGTTCTTGCGAATCGACGCTAAATCGACGCTACTCGACTCTAAATCGACACGAATCGACGCTAAATCGACGTTAATTCGGCGCTATCTCATCGACTCCCAGATGCTGATTGACGCCAGCCGACGTCAACAACAGATTTAAGAGGGCATACCAGGCTCCCATGACACCTAACACCTGCACTCGCGGCAGTTCGTCTCGCTCTCGCGCATCGCGTCGAGCGAGCCCTCCTCGGCCAGCCTGCCCACACACTTGACACGTGCGTGCTGCCTCCGTGCTCGGGGGCGTCCAAGAGTGGGGCGTCCAAGTTCCAAGATGGTGGCTTCGCAGATCATGGCCCGAGGGACGTGCGCGGACGAGGGTGGGGGACCAAAGAATGTGTTGAAAGAGAAAGAAGAGGCCATGAACTTCAGGGCGGCATCATGGCCCTGGCCAATGATACCAACACACCCCTGGTCGCCACCCCCTCTTGCAGAGGAAAGGAGAAAGGCGTAAATATAAAATTCTTCTGAGGGTCCGCGCGGATCTCTTGGATCGGAGCTGCAAGCGCCGCCAGGGGGGGCCTAGCGCAGATCAAAGATATCCGCGTGTAGCTCCAAAACTTACATGTAAGCACTTGTGCTTCGTCTATTCTCGCGCGAGTCCTGGAACCGCCTTCCTGGCGCTGATCGCAAGGGCCCATGGGGGTGTTGTGTTGCATCTTCGGGGGACCTTCTCTGTCTCGTCACCAAACGATCCGCGCCGAATCTGTGTCGAATCCCCGCCGAATCCGTGCCGAACCCGTGCCGAATCCACGCCGGATCCGCGTCGAAACCCACGCCGGAGTACGAGAGAGGACTGCCATCTATAGGACAGGAAGAGGCCCCCCCCCGAAGATGCAGAGCGACGGGTCTTGGCTTTTTTTATGCGAAATCTAGAGTCCACGACGGTTGCGGCTTTTCTTCAGGCTTCTGATGGGTGTGGGGAAGCTTGGAGCCTCGGACCTCTGGGTGTGGGCCTCCCTGGGCCATCCCATCCCGGGGACGCCCTGGGCAAGGGACCCCCTCTGGTGGCCACACCCGGGAAGTGAGCGGGGAGTCCTGGGGAAACAAAGAATTTGGACGCCCGAAATGGGTACGGACAAAAAAAAGCACAATGCCCAACAACAGATGCTGAGATGCTGTTCCAAACCGACAGCGGCCGCTGTTGGGCAGGCGGCCTTCTGTCTCGAATGGACACAGGCCGCGGCGGCGTGGACAGCGAATCCTGTTCAGAATGAACAGAAACTGCTGTTGGGCATTGTACCCATTCTTTCCGTACCCATTTCGGGCGTCCAGAAGGAATGACTGAAACTCAAAAAATTTCGGAGGCCGCGCGGAGTCCTCGAATCGGCGCCAGGGGCTCCTGGCGGCGCCCCCGGCGCCGCCCCTGGCGCGCTCCGCGCGCCAAGGAGAGGGGCCCCCCGCCCGTCCGAAACATCGGCGCGACCCTGATAATCTTTATTCGGCGGCGACGATAAGGGCGAATAGCTCAGGGGCGGACATGACGCGTGTTCGCCTGGGAGCCCTGTCGAAGACGTAGGTCATCGGCGCCCCTGGCTACATGTGTTGCTCTCCCGGCTATTCGCCCCGATCGTCGCCTCTGATTTATGCTTACGTCATTGTCAAGGGGCCCCAGGACACACAAATTCGCCGGCCCAACGGGCCAGAGGCGTGCTAAGATCTCCGGTAACTGGTTAACAATTCTCTAGTTCGCGCGCGCGGGGCGGCCCCTGGGGGTCCCCGGACGAAAAGCACCCCGGGCGGGTCCCGGCTGATCCCCGGGCGACTCCACCAGAGCGCTCCATGAGCGCACCAACAGGGCTCCGAGACGTCCCCGAGAGCCCCAAGAAAGGCCAAGAGGCCCCCAAGAGGCCCCCAAGATGGTACACGAGGGGTCCGACATGCCACAAGATCGCTCCAAGACGCCCAAGATAGCCCCCAGACGCCCCAAGAGGCCTCCAAGAGCACTCCCAAGAGGGCCCCCGGAGGCAAAATTCATTGCTTTTCCTTAGGTTTTTGAAAGATTTTGGAGCTTCCACCTTTTCGGCTTCCCGACGCCCCAAGACGGCCCAAGAGGCCCCCAAGATCGCCCCAAGAGGGCCCAAGAGGCCCCCAAGAGGGCCCCAAGATGGCCCAAGAGGGCTCGAAGACGGCCCAAGAAGCCTCCAAGACGGTCCAAAAGGGCCCCAAGAACCCCCCAAAGGGGCCCCAGAGAGGGAACACGAAACAACATTTCGAGCCCTCGGCCCTAAGAAGCCCCCACGAGGCCCCAAGAGGCCCCTAAGAGGCCCCAAGAGGCCCCCACGAGGCCCTCAGGAGGCCCCCAAGAGTCCCCCAAGCGGCCCCAGGAGGCCCCCCAAATGCCCCCCCGAGCACGCAAGCAAGTGCAAGCGATGCTACAATGTGCTCTCCTTTCGGTAGACTCCCAACGGGGCCCCTACAGACTTGCAACAAGCGTCAAGAACCTGCCCAAAAAGCACTGTCCAGGAGCGTTCACAAGTGCCGCGAAGAAGCCCTCCTTACGCCGGAAAGCCCGGAAAGCCGGGTGGGGTGAGCTGTTCTTCTCACCACCGCGCCCTCTCACACAATGGCTTCCGCACGCCGCCCAGAGCGCGACGTTCGGCTCATGCCCCCAGAACGCTCCAGGAGCGCGCCAAAACGGCACCGGAACGCCCCCGAAACAATCCAAGCGGCCTCAAGTCGCCGAACAATCGTTCCAAATTACCCAAGATGACCTCAAAATTGCCGTCGAGGCCGCAGAGAAGCCCCAAGAGAGCCTCAAGAGGCCCTCCAAGACGGCCATTACAATCAAAAATCGTCCCATTCCCAGAGGAACATGTACACTTCCCGCATGAACGGCGTTTCGAGTTTCACAGCGCCTCAGACTACGCAAATAGCCCCCAACATCGCCCCGAGACAGCCCAACAATCCGCTAAAATCGGCCCAAGACGGCCCAAGATAACCCCAAGGCGGCACATGAGAGCACCAAGACCGCCCAAGAGGCGCCCAAAGGGGGATTCTGCCCCTAGGAGCACCTCAGAGGCCACCAACATCCCGCCAATAAGTCCCCCAAGACGCCCCAAGAACCACCCAAGAAGCCCAACAAGAAGCCCCAACGACCCCCAAACGGCCCTTACGGGGCCTCAAGAGGCTTCAACACTGCCTCCAAAAGGTTCCCGAGACGCCTGGCAAAAGAACCCCCAAAGCGCCGCATTGACACCAGGCCCTCGGGCAAACGGCAGACATGAGACTGTATGGGCCGGCGGAATGAGCGAAGCGATTACATAAATACACACAAACAAAAGGATTCCCAATATTTTCCCGTATTCTCGAGTCTTTGTCTTCCCGCCCAGTTCCCATATGTTCCTACATTTTCCGGGGGATCGACGATTCATTGTGTCTGTCTTTTTTCCCCCTCCTGATCCCACCCCTCGGCCTTCACCTCGACCAACTCCTCCTCCCTCTCCTCCTCCTCCTCCCCCTCCTCCCCCTCCTCCTCCTCCTCCTCCTCCTCCTCCTCCTCCTGACATTTTGTAAGTTCCCCATGAGAGGTGGCGCCCCCGTCCACGGCAGAGCGGCAGAGAGAAGAAGCGAGGCGGGCGCAGCCGACGGGATATCGCACAAGAGTGGCAGCAGGCGAGAGGCCAGGACGGCCAGGGCAGGCTCCGCAAGGCACGGCACGGGCGGGGGAGCCGAACTACGGCAGGCTCGCGTCGTGCCGACCCCGGCGTTGGTTTCTGACACCGCGCTGGATCGTTCAACCTTGAACGATCGGCCGCTGCCGCAACGTCCGAAACGTCCAAATCATTCCACATCGATCGATTCTGGGTCGCCCGCGGCGTTCAAGGTTGAACGCCGCTGGCGGGGTCGCCGCCAGTCGACACGACACGAACCTACCGTAACCAGCCTCGAACGTATCCCTATCCCTAAGATTGTCACGCCAAAAGGCGATGACAATCTTAGGGGTCCGCCCTCAAAAAAGAAGGGAGTCCCTGAGATCGGCATCGTGATGGGGAGGTGCCCAGCATAGGGATAGGGATATGTTCCAGGCTGGTAACGCGAGGAACGGCACTGGCGGGGGAACCGAACTGCCGGCCGGCAAGGAGAGAAAGAGAGAAAGCGAGGTGCAGGGCAGAACGCAGCAGCCGAGGGCAGAGGGCGCTCGGGGGGCCAGGAGCAAGAATCGGAACCTTGATTGTGCGTCTCCGCTCGCGCTGGCCGCTCCCACAGGTTGCTGTGCAGCCTGTCCACGGCTCCCAGTCGTTCACGACGCAGTCAGTCACGGGCTTGGCCTGGGAGCGGCCAAGACACGACAGTGATGCCGAGGCTACCGACAGGGCTTCTCAACCCGCCACCGCTTGCAGCGTGCTGGGGTGCGTCGAGCCCTTCGGTTGCTGCGCGCATGGCGTTGGCCGTGTCTACCAAACCCTTGGAGACGTCATCAGGGTAAGGGGGCGAGCGGTCTGCGTGGCTGAAGTATCGGGGATGGACAGACCTCCCTTTAGTAAAACGTGGTTTAGTGAAAACGGCCTCGGGCCCAAACCTGGCGGGCGCAAGCCTGGAAAATGACGGCCGCGGCGCCCTTTCGAGAACCGAAAACGGACAATTTACTAATCGACGTGTCAGGGTATGAGGTCTGTCCAACCCCGGAAGTGGGCTTCCCGCAGTGCGACCGCGTGGCGGTGTTGCTCTTGCCTCGTCGCAGTCGCCCCCGAGGCCCGCCTCGCAGTCCGCCTCGCGGTCCGCCCGCGACCTGAACCCCACGACGCTCCGCGCGACCCGCCTGCGACAGGCAGTCGTCCGGCGATGGGCTTCCAGAATGCCGAACTGCGGGAGGCTTCGTGTATTCGCGGCGATCGCAGGGGTGTTCGGGAGGGGGCATAGGGGGGGGAGGGGCGGCGGAGGGGCACACGACGTAGCGCCCCAGGCCCCTACCGTCCGCGACAGACGGTGGTGCCGGACGCAGCGCGGCAGCGCCGAGGACACACTGGGGGGGGGGAGCGCTGCGTCATGGGAGGGGAGAAGGGGGGAAGGGGGGAGGCATAACGCGCGCTGTGGGATAAAAGCGTACACACACACACACACACACACACACACACACACACACACACGCACACACACGCACACACACACACGCACACACACACGCGCGCGCGCGCACACACGCACGCACGCACGCACGCACGCACGCACGCACGCACACACACAGACAGAGACAGACAGACAGACAGACAGACAGACAGACAGACAGACAGACAGACAGACAGACAGACAGACAGACAGACGGACAGACACACACACACACACATAAACACTCGGCAAGTGTGTGCTCAGCGAGGGTCTCCCTGGGCTTCCTGAAATTAGAAATTCGAGGCCTTCGGCCCCCGACCTGCGGGACCCCATAGCTGTGCGGCAGCCCCTGCCCCCTACCTGTGGGACACACTTACCCGGGTCAGTTAAAGGGGCCCAGGGACACACGAATAAATACACACAACTAACAGGATGTCCCTATATTTTCGCACATGTTTGGGACTTTCGTCTTCCCCCCTTCCCATCGTTTCCCACATTTTCCTGGGAATCGACGATTCATTGTGTCTGTGTTCTTTTTCCCTCCTGATCAATGCAATCCTGGGTCAGTCAGGCTCACATGATCCTGCATGGTCCTGCAGGATCCTGCAGGCCAGCCGGGGTCAGTGCGCCCCTGGCTCTGCAGGGTCCTGCGAGATCTGGCGGCGTGGCTGACCCGGCCCCTGTCTCAAAGCTCCCGACCCAACCCGCGCACGACGCCACCAGTCCCCCGAGCGGTTCAAGGCGGCTCCGAGTACGCTACCCGGACGGCCCCGAGACCCCCACAGGGTGGGGCCCCGAGACCCACCCAACGGCCCCGTCGCGGCAGCTTCTTGCCCAAGCAGTTCCCCTGGGGCTGAGCAGGGACCGACCGTCGGGCATTCCTATAGGCCTACCACGAAGGGTGTTAGGAACAGTCTCTGGCGGTCTTATAGGCAAGCCAGGACACTTCGCCACTGCTTGATGGGGAGGAGACGCGGTTTCCTTGAGCAGTCTCCGAGGCCCGATGCGCAGGAATCCTCATCACGAGTCAAGAGCGAGGCCCCGATGCACCCCCCAGCTGGCCCCATCGGGCGCACACTACAGCATGAGCTCGACCACAAGAGACCTTCCATAAGAAAACCAACCGTAAGACCCCATAGCGTCCACTGATTTCGGACGTAGCCCGAATTTGTTCCTCACGAGGTAAACTGAAAAAAAAACTGAACTGAACTGACGTGAACTGAACTGAATAGACTGGTCGCACCCTTTACGCGACGGTTCTATTCTAGGCCGCCGAGGGCGCGACCCATGGCGCAACCGATAAGAGACGGTTTTTTTCTCGGCCGCCGAGGGCGCAACTCATGGTGCAACCGATAATAGAAGGTTTTGTTCTCGGCCACCGAGGGCGCACAATATGGCGCAACCAATAAGAGACGGTTTAATTCTCGGCCACCGAGGGCCCGGACTATGGCGCAACCGATAGGAGACGGTTTTATCCTCGGCCGCTGAGGACGCGACCTGTGGCGCAACGGATTGGAAACGGTTTTATTCTCGGCCGCCGAGGGTCCAACCTATGGCGCAACCGATAGGAGACGGTTCTATTCTCGGCCACCGAAAGCGCAGCTTATGGCGCAACCGATACGGGAAGGTCTTATTCACAGCCGCCAAGGGCGCAACCTATGGCGTAACCGATAGCAGAAGGTTTTATTCTCGGCCACCGAGGGCGCCCTCTATGGTGCAACCAATGAGAGGCGGTTCTATTCTCGGCCGCCGAGGGCCTGGACTATGGCGCAACCGATAGGAGACGGTTTTATGATCGGCCGCCGAAGGCGCAACCTATGGCGCAACCGATAGGAGATGGTTTTATTATCGGCCGCCGAGGTGCCAGGAGAAAGAGGATGAGCAGGAGGAGGAAGAGGAGTAACGAGGACGACGTCCTAGGCGAGGACGGCGAGGAGCTGGATCAGGGGGAAGACGAGGAAGACGAGGAGGATGAGGACAAGGAGAAGGAGGACGACGACGACGATCAGGATGGGGAGGACGGGGAGGAATACGAGTAGTACGAGGACGATGTGTGGGCATTCGAATGCGTGCGGGGCTACGCCCGATGTAAGCTCGCCGTTTGGGCTGGCGGTAGGGCCCAAGCGGCGAGCTGTCTTGTGATTTTTGGTGTGTGAGCATCACGCTTTCCATAGCAAGACCATCGAAGTCCAAGAAACCCAGGGCACCCTGGTGGCAAACACGATGCTTCTTGGAACGGGTTCCCTCTGCAACGCGGACGAAGGACCCGTGGATCTGGCGCCTGGCCGCCAGGTCCACAGAGATCGGGTAAGGCCCCCCCCACCCTCGCCGTCGCTCGGACGTCCGTTCCCTGTGTTTTGTTCGGTGTCGTGCGTGGTTTTTTCGCCAAGTAATCAAGGATGCTCCTCGATGGTCCTCGCCGACGGACAAATGCACACGTCCGAGCGATGCCAAGCACCCCCCCGAAGCATGAGGCCGATGTCGCCCGATGTGTGGCGGCGGAGCGCGCCGACTCTGAACGGCAGCGGGGCCCGTCGCCGATCCGCGCAGCGTGCTTCATGCTTAGCACGCGCCGCGCCAAAGCATAAACGCAACTTCGGGAGGTACACTTCTGTCGGGCGTGTCCCCCCTACAGGGGGATCTTCGACGAAAAATCAAAGATGTTCAAGAACTGCCCCAGAAAGATAAAGAAAAATACTCCAAAAATAGTCCCCAGACTATTTCTGGACTATGTTTTGACTATTATTGGGGTATCTTTTTTAATTTTACATCGAAAATCCCGCCTGTAGGGGGACACGCCCGACTTACAAGGTACACTTTCGTTCCGGCTGCCTTCCGCCCGTGGGCGCGCGCCGCTCCGCTTCCTCCGAGGGCCCTGCCCCTCGAGAACGTGCGCAACGCCCTGGCTTGCCGCGCGAAGCCTGCGCTGAGACTCTGCGGGAATCGGGGACCTGCTGACCCAGACCCCCTCGAGTTATGAAAAAATCACGACGCGAGGTTTTTCATGATTTTCGGCCCCTGGGGGTCCTTACCGGCCCTCGGGACCGTCAAAAAACGACTCAGGACGAAGAACCGGTCCCGGGGGGTGGGTCCAGACCGCTGGGGGTCGACGTCATGAAAAATTCATGACGTCGGGGGTCTGGGGACCGGGGTCAATCCAGACCCGGGTCAGTCAGGCCATGCAGAATCCTGCACCCAAACCGGGGTCAATGCAAAAGGATCCTGCAAGATCCTGCAGGATCCTGTGCCCAAGCCCGGGTCAGTGCGACCCTGGCCCTGCAGGATCCTGCAAGATCGGGCGCTCTGGCTGACCCCCGTCTGCACTGACCCCCGTCTCAAGGCTCCCGAGGGAGCAGCACGTCGCCGTCCCCGGCGCGCCCCCGATGCCGACGATGCGCTTTTTCGGTTGGGGGGGCGGAGAGGATAGCAAACAGCCCAGCGACAACCTCCAGAAGTGAAGCGTGTGAGAGGCTGAATGAAACCGGCAGGGGGCGGGGCAGAGACGCGGGCAACCCAAATGCATTTCCCAGCGCGACCAGCAGAATTTGTCGCCGCGGAAAAATGCCCACTGAACCAGGCAGACACTCGCCAGGCGAACCCGGAGCGCCCCACAAGCCGACCTGCAATAGGCAAGCTCGTGAAGAGAACCTTGCCCTGAGGTAAACAAAACGGCGGGGCTGAGCACGAAAAGTTGACTGTGACAAGTAGTGCCCAGGCAGACTTCCGTGCAGAGGCGAAGGAGGAGGGAGAGGATGAAGGAGCGGGGAAAAGCGGGGAGACACGAGCCATCTAAATGGGGTACAAACTAAGGCGCAATACGAAGCCCTGTGAATTACCACGGGAATCTACGCACCCTCGAACATGGAGCGGCCTGGCGGCAGCTCGATGATATTCAATAGCAATCTAAGAGGAGGTGGGAAGAGAGGAGCCAAGCGCAGAGGGCCGACCAAGCCCTCGAAAACAGCGACCTAAGGGGGACAGGCGAGAGAGCCAGGACATCAGACGAGGCGAGCACCATGGAAGAGCCTCGCAGACAGCGCCGACCTCAAACAACGGCAGATCCAAAGTGGATGGCGCTACCTCCCACAAGGCGGCGGCCGCCGTATTGGCCCCCAGGCCCTCTCTGAGCCGCTGACCACTCCCGAAGCTAACCAGCCTCGAACTTATCCCTATCCCTAAGATGGGCGAGCAAAACGCGAGGACAATCTTAGGGATAGGCCCTCAGAAACCGAGGGAATCCCTAGGATCGGCATCGAGGTGAGGCGATGTCAAACATAGGGATAGGGATATGCTTCAAACTGGTAAGAAGCAGTCAGCCTCGGTGGCCACGCGAGCACAGGCCAACTGCGTGGAGAGAGGAGGCGCAGGCAGAGGGGGCGAGGAGAGGGGACCGAGGGTGACGCGCCGGCGTCGGCGCGGGCACCGCCTGCACGAATTTTGCGCCCCGAGCCAGGCTGCACAATTTACCAGCCTGGAACATATCCCTGTCCCTAATTATGCTGGGCACCTCCTCAGCACGATGCCAATCTTAGCATTCCCTCGTTTTTTGAGGGCGGATCCCTAAGGTTGTCATGGCCTTTTGGCGTGTCCAATCTTAGGGATAGGGATACGTTCGAGGCTAGTAAACAGTTTTGACTCCGAGTGTGCGCCATCGGCCACCCCTCCGGGACAGATAAACCGTGCGAGCGCAGGGCCTGGGATTGCGGCCGCGCTCGCCTCGCCATCGCTCGGACGTCCATTCCCTGTGTTTTGTTTTTTGGTTTCGTGCGTGGTTTTTTCGCCAAATGATCAAGGATGCTCCTCGATGGTCCCCGCCGAAGAAAAAATGCACAAGTCCGAGCGATGCCAAGTCGCAGGACAGCGCGCGCGCGCTGTGCGGACCTGCAGCTGCGCTCCGCCAGCCGTGCTCAGCGAAATCGTTCGTGCAAGCCCTAAGGGAGGAAGGCGGCGAGGGAGGGAGGAACGATGCGAGGGAGGGAGGCGAGGGAGAGGTGCCAGCGACGGCGCAGGACCGAACTGCACGAAGTGCTCCCCCGAGCCGAGCCACCCACCTTCGAATCCGAGTGTGCGCCAGCGGCCACGCCGCCAGGACAAATGAGCATTGCCAGCGCCGGGCCCAGGATCTCGGCCGCGCTCGCCGGACAGCGCGCAAGCTGCGCGGACCTGCAGCTGCGCTCCGCCCGCCGTGCTGCGCGAAAATCATTCGTGCACACCTTGGAGCAAGGGGGCGAGGGAGAGAGGCAGGAGGAGGCGAGGAGGAAGGGGAAGAGGGAGAGGCGCCGGCGACGACACAGGACATGACTGTACGAAGTTCCGCCCCGAGCCGGGCGACCCACTTCTGCCTCCGAGGGTGTGCGCCAGCAGCCGCACGGCGGGGAAAGAACAACAAAAAAAAACGAAAACAGAGCCGGGCACGTCGGCCACGCTCGCAGGACAGAGCGCGGTGGCTGCGCGGGCTTGCAGCTGCGCTCCGCGCGCCGTGCCGCGCGACACCACTCGGGCACACATTCAGAGGGGGGCTGCAGCGCGCGCGCACTATTGACCGCGCGGCAAGGACATCGACGACTGTACCTGCGCAGGGCGAGATACATAATTATCACGGAGTCGGTGCGCGGCCTCAGCGGGAAAGTACGTGGCCATGCGCGGTCGGATGGGCCGGTGCGCCGACCGCAGAGGGAGCGGAGGGGGGAGAAGCAGAGAGGAAGACAGCGCGAAAGACGGCTGGCCACACCTCAATCGGGACGCGGGCGTTTGAAGGTGGAGGCGACCAGACTCATGGCCTTGGCGTTGCCCTGGGTGGCCCCGCAGAAAACCGACGAACAGCTCCGCGCATGCCGAAGCAAAAGCGCTGTATCGGACGGCGTTGTGTCCGATGAAGCCAGTCAGTCGCAGTGGTTCAGGCCACTGCAGCAGTAGCTGGTGCCCCATACGGTTCCGCAGCGTGCGGGGTAGTGCCCACGAAATCGTCAAGACATCTTTCTGGCGGGGGCGTGCGTAGAGCCAGCTTCCTCCAGCACGCACAATGGAAAGCCGTACGGAGTGCGTAGTGTTCGATGCGATCCTCGGATTTGCACCTGCACCCAAAGATGCAGTGGCCATTGCCCTGCATGCAGCGGCGCGTCAACCATCCGTTGAAGGCAGTGAGGATGTGGCAGGCTTGCGCGCGCGGGGGGAGCCACGCCGTCGCAGCCATCAAGAGGCCCGACCATCAGCCGACCCTGTGGCCAAGCAGGGTCGGCGAGTGCCACCGGTCGACGCGGATGCGAGCGTGCGCACGGGGAGGGCCCTCGAAATGAGAGTCAAGGAACTCTCTCACCCTGGCCTGACAAACCGCGCGCTCATGAACTGCATGGCCGTCGTGGCAGAAAACCAGCACCCACCAACGCAGCAGGCGTTTCCAGGCGTGTGCTTCACAAGCTGCCTCGCCCAAGGAAAGAGAAAGTTCTGAGACAACAGCGGCACCATTCGGCTAGACGTAAGAGCGACCCTGGGTAAGAGTGACCTTGGCGCGCAGCTTTTAGGGGCGCGAGGGAGCCGAACCCAAGGGCGCGGGCCGCTTATATCGCATCGTGCTCGGCGATCGGGGGGAGCCCGATGAGCCCGCACCAAAGGTCACTCCGGAGAAGGGTCACTCTTGCGTGTAGTCGAACCATGCCTGCGTAAGGGCGTCGTCCCCTGGCTGGCTCATCGCCTGGCGAAGCCTCGCAGCGCGCTGTAAGACACAAAAGCCTCCATCGGCCGAATCCTCGAACTGCGCCGCGCGAGCCCGGGCAGCGACAGACGACCACATGATGTCCAGCACCTCCTTCGGGAAATGGGCAGCCTTCAGGGTCTTCAGAAAACAATGCGAGATCCACTCTGCGGGCCCCGGGAGCAGGGTCGCACACACCTCGGCTTCGACATTAGCGAACGTCGAGGAAAGCGGGTCGAGCTTGGGGATGAAGGACAGAACCAGGGCAATGAAGATCGCATAAGCGTCCAAGTTGTTCGACATGCCCAGGCCCACCTGGCTTCAAAGCCTTGCTCTAAACTAACATTTCTCGATCGGAGCGCACCAAGATTGCTCTTTGCAGCCAGGACCGACCACGAAGCCGAGGCGTTTTGCTTTGGAGCTGGCATCCACGCCCCCCCCCGCGCGGGGACGACACGGTGCATTCGTTCCTGGAAAACGTTGACGTCAAACAAGGCCAGCGAACAGTGAAGCGGGCAACTTTGCCCGATGCCTCGGGTGACGTCGAAGTCCCGGTGCCTAGCGCCTCCCAAGACGGTGGCACAGCGGTTCCGCGTGTACAGCACGTTGATGAAATTGAGTGGCCAAGGCGGCCAACCGAGCTTCGAACAGATCCTGTCCATGAACTTGTGCTCGATGGACGGAAAGACCGCCGCGAAGCCGAAGAACATGGCTGCTGCGCCCTCGGACTCACAAGCGCCCAGTGCCATCGCTGCGTCCACGTCGACCAGGCTGGCGAGGAGGGAGCGGCCGCCGATAGAACCCTGCTGAAATCTGGACACCCTGGAGCTGATACACGTCTCGATCACCTTGCGGGCGGCGTTCGCGAGCAGGCGGTTGCCCGTGCTCGTGACGTTCAGCGGGCCTGCGTTCGCCGGCCCGTGGATTCCCTGGCTGGTCGGCATGTGCCCGACGCCTTTTTGGGGAAGAAGCAAAAGGAGGCCTCCTGGTCGTCCGCTTCCATGAATTCTGCGGTCTGGTCTGCGCAAAAGACTTGAGCCGCCGCGTGGAGGACGTCCGTGGTGAGGCCCAGCACTCGCGACGAAGCGCGGAAAATGATCCTGTCGGGTTTAGGCGAAATGTGATTGGCATTAAGAGTGGCGTAACGTATGCGTTTCTTCTTTAGCTTGTGCGATCCGCGATGGGAATGTTGCGACACGCCAGCAGGCTTGTTGTCCGAATCCTCATCCAGTCACTTGGCCAGCAGAGCTTCGTCGATGCCCTTTGTCGAAATTGTTCGACCAGTGCTAGCGAAGGGTGGCAGCATTCTTGTCCAGGGTAACCTGGATCTTCCCTCTCGCGTTCCGCATGGCGCCGACGCTGCAGGAGCGCCCCGGGGAGATTCTCTAGATGCGCCTCGTGCTCCTCTGTCCGGATTGCATGGCGCGCTGGATGTTCCCCGAAACCAGATCGTTGTGGGCCTTTCCCAATTTTATGTCGGGGCTTTCCCCCTACAGTGAGATTTTCGACGAAAAACAAAAAATACCCCAAACATGCACTAAAAATGTCAAAAACTACCCACAAAATAGTCACCAGACTTAACCACAAAATAATCCCCAGACTATTTTTGGATTATTGTTTGACCATGCTTGGGGTATTCTTTATTATTCTTCATCGAAAATTCCCCTGTAGAGGGACAGGCCCGACTGAATCCCAATTCGTCGTATTTTCTGCCCTGTCGCGCGCGATGCGCGCCGAATCACACTCTACCCACGCAATTTGCAGCATTGACGACAAAATGACCGCGCTGAGGGGAAAGCACCTCGACTTACCATTGCCTCTGATTGTAGAGTGAAGGCACCACTTGGGGGGCGCTACCGGGCCGAAAACGAAGAGAGTGGGAGTACAGATTGACAATGTTGTGATGGACTAAGTGGGGCTGGGCAGCAATAGCAGCGAAGAGTCCGAGTAGAGTTGAACGAGAGGTGGTTCGAGCCAGAGTTCGGATCGAACTGATGTGGGTCTAGCTGGACTGCTGTGGAGTACCGTCGACACCTGCGTTGAGGAACAGTACACCAGGAGCGCCTTGCAAGTATGGGCACAACCAAATCAAACAACTAGAGCACGGTCGACTCCCTCTAGCAACTGAGAGTGCTCAGTTTCAGAGTACGGTCGGGAGCATTTGCCTAGCGTGATGCGGCGGCGGCCCCGGCGACACGCTATGCCCTGCAATCGGGTCGGGCGAAAGGGGGGGATAGCAAAGGGGGGGGGGTGAGAATCAGCTCACGCAGCTGATTTTCCAGGCGCCTCCCGCCGCCGGAGGCGGCCATGTATCGAGGAATCGGCCCCTCGGTGGGGCCGAAACCAGCTGCATGCAGCAAATTCCGTAACCCCCCCTTTCCCAATCCCCCCCTCTCGTCCGGCCCGGTGCAAGCGGGCCGCATGTCGCCCCGCCCCGCGGGGCGGGAGGCCAGGGACAAGCTCGGGCGGCTGACGCTCGGGGGCCCCGGGACGGGGCCGGCGTGCCGCGGCGAGGCGTGCAGATATCCGGCGGCGCGGCACGCCGGCCAGCGGCGCCTGGCAGTGGGGCTCGGCGCAGCAGGCCGCTGGGGCGTGGACGGGGGAGAGGGAGGGAGGGGGGAAGGAGCACGGAAACTGCAGGAGCATAACTCTTTGAAGGGGCCCTGGGACCCACAAATAAATGGATACACACAAATCACAAGATTCTCCAATTCTCCATAGTTTCCCTTATGGTCTGGGCTTTTGTCTCCCCCCCACTGCCCATATTTCTCCTATATTTTCCTGGGGGATCGACGATTCATTGTGTCTGTGTGTTTTTGTTCCCCTCCTGAGAGAGGGAGGGAAGGGGGAAGGAGCACGAAAACTCCATGAGCATAACCGAAGGGGCCCCAGGACACACAAATAAATACACACACATCACGGGATTCCCCATAGTTCCCCAAAATTTCTGGGCTTTCGTCGTCCCCCCACTGCCCAGATTGTCCCATATTCTCCTGGGGGATCGACGATGAATTGTGTCTGTGTGTTTTTTCCCCTTCCTGAAAGAGGGAGGGAAAGGGGAAGGAGCATGAAAACTGCATGAGCATAACCGAACGGGCCCCAGGACACACAAATGAATATACACACACAAAGAACAGGACTCCCCATATTTTCCCATACTTTCTGGGCTTTTGTCGTCCCCCCCACTGCCCATATCTTCCCATATTCTCCTGGGGGGATCGACGGTTCATGGTGTCTGTGTGTTTTCCCCCTCCTGAACAAGTCTTGGAGGTCCGCGCGCGAATCTCTTGGATCGGAGCCGGGCCTTCCTTTCCCCTGAGGCACGGCGGGGGGCGCGCCGGGGGCCCCCAATGCGCCACCCCAAGAAATCATCGCGCGGGCCTCCGACAGTTCCGACCAGCCACAACTGGGGGAGCTGAGGTCCTTACCCCCTCTGGGGGAACCCATCGCCTCGACGAGCTCTCGAGAGGGGTGTCGAAATCGATGGGCCCCCCAGGGGGGTAAGGACCACAGCTCCCCCAGTTGAGGCTGGCCTGCAGTTGGTGCTCATGCCATTTTGTTCCTCTTCGGGCGAGGAGGCCAAGAGGAGACCGAGAGGGCCTCGCACCCCGCAGGCGGCGTCTCGTTCACGCCGGGGTTGCACGGCTCCACGACCCTGATGGGCGTGTCCAGGCACGGCTTCCCCAGCCTCTCGCGGAGTCCGACGCGCGCGCGCGGGTGCGCTCCCACCCGCCTCCCTCTGCCCCCTGCCACTTCTTCTTTGCTTGACCATTCCTCCTGGTTCCCGTTACGCCCCTCCTCCTGCGTACCGCCATCCGTGGTGGTAAGTCCTCTGCTTGCTCCTGCTGGTGTTCCTCCTCCTCCTCCTCCACCTCCTCCTCCTCCTCCTCCTCCTCCTCCTCTCGCTGCGGCCCGTCCTCATCCTCCTCCTCCTGCTCCTTCCCCTCCTCCTCCTCCTCCTCCTCCTCCTCCTCTTCCTCCTCCTCCTCCTCCTGCTCCCCACCATTCCTGCCTCGTCCATCCCCTCTTCTCTCTCTTCGCCATGGGGCTGTTTCCCTCCCCCTTGGCACCTCCACCCTCATCACCCCTCCTTGTATGCCTCTATGCCTCCAGGGAGGGTGCCGCCCAAAGGGCAACAGCCCCATGTGTCACGAGTTCCAAACAGCCACGGTCACCAACGCGCAAGACATACCCCCTTTGATCACCCCTGCCTCGTCTCATTCGCATGCTAATGGGGGTGAGGCTTCTTGGGGTCAGAGACAGCGAAGGGCAAACGAAGTCACAACAGGTGCTCTGAGGAAACTACTGGCAACTCTGTTCTGAAGAAAAAAATGGCCCGGGCGAAGTAGTTCCCACGGAATTGCTAGCTTTTGGGAAACATGCAGCCCCGACCAAGGACAACCCAAGGAACTGAGCTCACCTTTGGCTGATCCCTAAAATCAAGTCGGGCCTGTCCCCCATACAAGCCGATTTTGGACGAAATGTAAAAAATACCCCCAACATATTCGAAAGTGTTCAAAAAATAGGCAAACAAATCGTCCCCAGACTATTTGTTTGACTATTTGGGGATGTTCCCCCTGTAGAGGGACAGGCCCGACTTAACCCTAAAAGGCTGACCCCCATTTAGAACAAGAGAAGCTGCACAGACTGAAGGGGCCCTGGGACACACACATAAATACACACAAATCAAAAGATGCCCCATAGTTTCCCATATTTTCTGGGCTTCTGTCTTCCCCCCCACTGCCCATCGTTTCCTATATTTTCTAGGGGAATCGACGATTCATTCTGTCTGTGTGTTTTTTTCTCCTCCTGACAAACACGCATTTTCGGAGTTCCGCGCGGATTTCCCAGGGGGCAGCGCCAGAGACGCAGCCATGGGGGGCCCCCAGCGCCTGCCTGGAGAGACCCGCGCGGGGCTCCGAACAGGTCTGTTTGTGCGGTTCTTCTTCTCCGACCATCCGCAGGCGATGGATCGTCCATCGTCCAGTCTTAGGTGAACGAAAAGTGACATAAACATAAAAACTCGGAGGTCCGCGCGGATTTCTCGGATCAGCGCTGGGGCCCCCCGGCGGCGCCTCCGGCGCCGCCCCTGGCGCGCTCCGCGCGCCAGGGAGGGGGGTCCAGCGCCGATCAGAGAAATCCGCGCGGACCTCAGAGTTTTTATGTTTATGTCACTTTGTGTTCCCCTAGTCCATCCTCCAGTCTTCCTCCACCGCCCGTCTCCATCACCCCCCCTGCCTGTCCTTCACCCTCCTCCGCGCACCCTGCTCTCCACTGCTCCGCCTTCTCCCGCTCCCATGCCTCCTCAGCCCGGTCATCGTGCTCCTCATCCCTCTTGTTCTCCTCCTCCTCCTCCTCCTCCTCCTCATCTTCCTCCTTCTCCTCCTCGCTCCTCCTTCTCCTCCTCGGTCCTCCTTCTCCTCCTCGGTCCTCCTTCTCCTCCTCGGTCCTCCTCCTCCTCCTCCTCCTCCTCCTCTTCCTCCTCCTCCTCCTCCTCCTCTTCCTCCTCCTCCTCCTCCTCCTCCTCCTCCTCCTCGTCATCATCACCATTGCCCAACTTGGCTCTGGCTGCCGCGCGCGACCTGGGCGGCGCCGCGTCGCGACCGCTCCATCGTCGCCGGCCCGGCGCGTGCGCCGCTGGCCGCCGCCCTTTGCGCCACCGGTTGCCTCGTGCGTGCCTCCGTGCAGGGAGTGCCGCCCACGTCGGCGGCTCGCTCGGCCCCCTCGCCGACTCGCCGCCTCCGCGAGAGGCCGCACGTGCCCCGGAGGCGCGGGGCCTGCTAGCCGATGGCTCCGCGAGGCCGCGTCCAACGACAAGCCTCGGCACGGGCCTCGGCCTCCGAGGTGGTGTCCCCGACCGCGCTGGCGGCGCGCAAGTCCCAGATCGCCCCCCTTGCGGATAAGGAGCCGACGTGGGGCCCAGAATTCCCCGGCGCGCGCTCGCTGCGGCGACGGCCGCAGGCTCAGGCCTGCCCCTCGCGGCCTCGAGCCGAAGCAGGCCCCCCCAAAAGGGGCTGCCCCTCGGCCCCCCGCAGGCGCCACCCACGACGCCGTGGGCACGGTCGTGGGCGTCTGCCTACGATCTCTTCTGGGAGGTTGCCCTCGCCGAGGCTGTATATATTCGTTGCCCAGGACCCAGGCCCCCGACTTCATGTTTGTTTCACGACGTCGACCCCGCCAGGGGTCTCGATCTATTCCCTGGGGCCGGCTTTTCCTCCTGTCCTCGAAGCCCAGCAAGGCCTCCAAGAGGCCGAAAACAGCGGATCACCTCCCGTCGAGCTTTCTTTGTCTTTGATTTGCTCGCGGGTGATCGTCTGCCGAACGCTCCTGCCCGTGGCGCCGAAACGACGAGCGAGGGGCCCGAAGGAAGGGCCGAAAGAGACGAGGGACGGACCCCAGGAACCCAGACAGATCCGAGCGAGGGACCCGACCGAACGCACAGGGACAACGAAAACTCGAGGGCCCGAAACAGAGCGCAACGAGTGTTAACTTAATTAACACTCCTTAAATCAATCGGGGCGGTACTAGAGAGAGATCTCAAGACAGCCTCCACATCGCATCCACCCTTGTACCCCCCCCCCACCCAATCGCAGGACAGGAGTGAGGGGAGGACGGGAGGGCTCAGACTGCCCGCTTCCCGCGGTTGACACGTAGAGCGGGCCGATCAAGATGGTCATCATCGTCTGGTGGCCGGAACGAGTTCGGCGGGAAGTGGAAAAGCGTTGCCTGAGCAGCATGTGCTCTGAGCCAGGCACGTGCCACGGCATCCCGAGCATTCCACCAATCAGCACCAGGAACGACGGCGTGAGGTCGACGATGCGCGCGAACAGCTTGACCAGGTGCTCTGAGCCAGACGCGCGCCACGGCATTACGAGCACTCCACCAAGCAGCACCAGGAACAACGACGTGAGTAGAAGGGCCAGACTCGGCCGTCACAGCCTCCTTCTGGAAGTCGACGTCGAGACGAAAGCGTACAGGTACAGCAGGCACAGCTTGAAGACCAGCAGGCTCTCGATGAGGAAAGAGTTTCCCAGGATCTCGAGGACCAGCAGGCTCTCGAAGACCAGCAGGCTCACGAAGATCAGCAGGCCCTCGATGAGGAGGAGCATCATGACGACCAGGAGGCCCTCGATGAGCAGCAGGAACATCATGAAGACCAGCGGGATCTCCACGAAAGTTGTATAGACCCACTTCAGGAGGATCCAAATGACCAGGAAGTTCGAAACGACACGGCTCAGGAAGGTCGCAAGCAGGAACAGCTTGAAGATCATAAGGTTCTCGAAAAGCAGCGAGTTTACCAGGCTCCAGACCAGCAGGCACTCGAAGACCAGCAGGCTCTCGATGACCAGCAGGCTCTCGAGGAGCAGGAACATCAGGAGCGTCACCGTGATGTAAATCAGGAAGGTCGTCGTAGCGGCTCGCATCTGTGGCTGGCGGTGCCCAGCAACCAGGAGCGAGCTCTGCATTCACATGAACAAGAAGTCGGGGCTGGAAGGGATCGGCCTCGGCGTTGAGCGGAAAGGCCATAATCTTCAGCGTCGACTCGAGGACAACGGCCCGAACAGCCGCAGGCGGCGGCGGCATCCCGCTCGCGCATGGCGGCGGGGCGTGGCGGCACCAGTTGCCAGTCTCCAGGGCGTCAATGGTATCCTGGAGCTCCGCGTCGTCGAGCCCCGCCAGGCGGGCGCCCAGCGTGGGAATGTGGCCGCCCAGGCGATCTCCAAGGCGCCAGTGGGCGTCGAGGGCGACACGGAGGCCACGCAACCGGTAGGACATAGCGGCGGCCCTCGTCTGCCCGAGCTGCGCCCTCCGTTCGCGTCGAAGGCGCCGAGCCAGGGTCCGAGCACTCGCCGCAGCCCAGGCTTTGCCGCCAGCAGTGACAGCTCGAGACATTGCGGCCGCTTGCGCGCCAGCGCCTGGAGCAGGCGCGCTGGCGAGGGCCTCCCGAAGCGCGGCTCGCTTGAGCCAAAATGGCTACGGAAGCTTTCCTTGTCGGATTCGAGGGGGTCCGGGGACGCCGCCTACGCCAGTGCGTGCCAGTGGGAGGCCCTCTCTTCGTGAGGGCCGCCCGTTTGCCCTCGAAGCTGCCCTCGTGACGGGCCAGCCTGCGCGCGCCGCCGCGTCGCGCCCCCGGGCCCCTCCCGACCGCCGCGCGCCAGCGGTGGTGTGCGCCGCCGCCGCGCCGGCCACCTGCCGGGCGCCGCCTCCCGGCGGCCCTGGCGCCGCGCACCCGCGCGGCTGGCGAAGGGGCTCGGAGCCGCCTCCGTGCTCTGAGGGGCGCGCTCGGCCCGGTCCGCCCCGGGAGTCCCAGCACGCTGCGGCGATCGACGGACCCTGCCGTGCCCTCGGCATCCCCGGCGACGGCACCGCACGGTCCGCCGCCGCACGGTCTGGGACCCTGGAGGCCCCGATTGCCCGAGGCATCCCCGGAGACCGATGCCAGTCCCCAAGCCGTGCGCTCACCCCAAATCCCCCCCGCGACCCGCTCCCGAAGACTGTCCACTATGATCGGCTGCGACCTGCATTGGCTCCCTGCGCCCACTCAGGATGCGTCCCTGGGGGCATGCTCAGCTCACCCACTCTGAGCGCCCCGAGTGCCCCCGACCCCCCACCACTGCACAGCGGGCCGCGGCCGCCCGTGGTGTGGCAGGACTCCAGGTCCCCTCCGAGAGCGGTGCCCCTGCGCTGCTGGGGAGCACCCGTCGGGCAGCACCGGGGACGACGGGCGACCATGCATGAGCTCATCGTTGTTTTTCCCTACCTGGGCTCTGCCTAGAAGGGTTCTTACTCGGTATGCTTAAAGGGCCGGGCAGTGCAACTCGCCCCGGGCGGTTCCCCCAGGATCCGCACCGCGGTTCCCCTAGTTATCCCTACATAGGCTCTGCCTAGAAGGGTTCTTACTCGGTATGCTTAAAGGGCCGGGCAGTGCAACTCGCCCTGGGCGGTTCCCCCAGGATCCGCACCGCGGTTCCCCTAGTTATCCCTACATAGGCTCTGCCTAGAAGGGTTCTTACTCGGTATGCTTAAAGGGCCGGGCAGTGCAACTCGCCCTGGGCGGTTCCCCCAGGATCCGCACCGCGGTTCCCCTAGTTATCCCTACATAGGCTCTGCCTAGAAGGGTTCTTACTCGGTATGCTTAAAGGGCCGGGCAGTGCAACTCGCCCCGGGCGGTTCCCCCAGTATCCGCCCCGCGGTCCCCCCAGTTACGTCCCCTTAGCTTAGCGTTGCTTATCTCATCTTAGCATAGCTGATTTCATCCTGGCTTAGCGTAGCTTCATCTTAACTCAGGTTTAGTTTAGCTAGCTTACCTTCATCTTAGCTTCGCTGAGATTTAGCATAGCATAGCATAGCATAGCATATCATACCATAGCATATCATAGCCCAGCATAGCATAGCGCAGCATAGCATAGCATAGCATAGCATCACACAGCAAATCATAGCATAGCATAGCATAGCGCAGCTTAGCATATCATAGCATATCATAGCTTAGCATAGCACAGCGCAGCATGACATCGCATAGCTTAGCTTAGCATAACATAGCACAGCATGGCAGAGCATAGCATAGCATAGCAACTAATGCTGCTTTCCTAGAGGCTCCAACTTCTAGGTAGGGTCGCACTGGGGTAATTAATACTAAATCCCTGCATGTTTAATGCATGATCCGCACGCGGAGCATGTATCAAAAACGGCACTGTACGGACCACCGAGGCGCGCATCAAAGCACGATCCAACTATTCACTGCTGCAAGTTTTTTCCGGCGCGGCGGTCGCCCACTGTCTCTGCGCACCACTGCCTACAGGCACCCGCCTCGCCTCGGCGACGCGGGATCCCTCTCGCTGCACGGGTCGTGCGACGGGACGCGCGCGCGCGAAGGCCGAACGATCCCGCTCGATCAGAGACGAGGGCGTGATCCCGGCAGCAGACCGCTGCTCTCCTCCCGCTCCCCCTCGACGTTGGCACTCTGCGCCGCATGCGTCATGGTGGCTGTGCAGCACTGCGCCCGCTGCGAGGCGTGCTCACATGGTCTTCTTGTCCCCTTGGCCACCGGGGGCGCCGAGATGCTCTGCGACGAGGGCGTCGAGCTTCTCCTCCCCGGCGCCCGTGATGGAAGCCACCCTCTTGCCCGCGAGAAAGACCTGGAAGGTCGGCAGCCCCATCACCTCGCATTGGGCCGAGACGTCGTCCTGCTCGTCCGCGTCCACCTCCGCGAAGCAGTGGGACGAGTACTGCGCCGCCAACGCCTCGAAGCGAGGCTTCATCGCCTGGCACGGCTTGCACCAGGACGCGGTAAAGTCGAGTACCACCGCGTGCCCGGCTGTGACGGACTCCGCCAGCAACGAGTCCAGGTGCTCCTTTCGACTGCAAGTAGGAGTGACCCTAGGCAAGGGTGACCTTTGGTGCGCGGCTTTGGGGGGACGCGGGGGGGCCAAACCCAAGCGCGCAGGCCGCTGTTATCGCTTCGCATTCAGCGATCGGGGGGCCCCATTGGGCCCGCACCAAAGGTCACTCCAGCGAAAGGTCACTCAAACGTGTAGTCGATCCTTCGACTGGACACTGCCCACCTTTCCCGGCTCGAAGCCTGCGGCTGCCGTGGGCTCGCCCGCCTTCTTCTTCTTTTTCTTACCGAAGCCCGGGATCTTCTCCAGGTAGGGCGCACACGCGTCCGAGGCCTCCCGACCCCAAGCCTCCAGCGCCGCCGCCCACTTCTCCGGCAAGAGGGGCTTCACGAAACGCCAGCAGAAGAAGACGATCGCCGGGAGGCACGTCCATGGGTCAAGGGGAACGTTAGGTGGGGGGCCGGCTCAGTGGCGGAAACATCGACGGGGAATCGGCGATACATCGCCGATGGATGGGCGATTGGCTCCCCGATAGCCAACCCGAGCGCTCCTGGGCGGAGCGGGCTATCGGGCCCCCATCGGCGACGAATGGGCTGCAGTCGGGGCGTTGACCCAAGGAACCCTAAATAAGGAACGAGGCCCCTTTTTTCCATAAGTTGAACTTCGATTCCCCATCGAAAACATAAGGGAAACCTGAGGCAAGCCGCGAAACACTCAAGGAACGCGGAGCCCCTCCCCAACCAAAAGGGTTCCTTCTTCAGGGCCCCGACTGAATTTCCCTTGGAGCCAGCCGGGGGGTTTTGAACTGGTTGGGGCCCCAGACAATCTGTCAGGGGGGGGGGGCAGCCAAATCCGCTCAGAATCGGTCCCCGAACCCCTCCAGGAGTCTATCTGGTGCAATGTTTCACCCTGCGGATCCGTTTTCAATCCCGAGAATGGCCCCTGGAAGCCGAAAAAGGCAAACGACCCTCCCGAACCCAGAACCTCGAACCTGACCGCCCTGCCTGCTGGCCAGAACCAGTGCTGGGCCACCTCAGACCCCCAGACAGCTCCAACATTCCCCCCTGAGCCTACAGTAGGAGCTCGACCACACGAAACCTTCCACAAGAAACCCAACCCTGAGACCCCAGGACGTCCATTGATCTATGGTGTGGGAAAATCACGCATCCCATAGCAAAACCTTCGAAACCCAAGAAACCCAGGGCACCCTGGAGGCAAGCAGGGTGGTTCTTGCCATGGGTCTCCACTGTATCCACCCCAAACGCCCCCCCTGAATGGGACGCACACAGGCCCGATGCAGATGACGGGCATGGCCACCCGCGGGACACCCGCGGCGAGGCGGCTGCGCGGCGAGAGGCGATGCCAGCGGGCCACGCTGCCCTCGAGCTTTGGGCGGCAACAGAGGCACGGCGCCCCCTCCTCCTCCCCCTCCTCCTCCCACTCCCCCTCCTCCTCCTCCTCCTGCTCCTCCTCCTCCTCCTCCTCCTCCTCCTCCTCCTCCTCTTCCTCCCCCTCCTGCTCCTATTCCTCCTCCTCCTCCTCCTCCTCCTCCTCCTCCTCCTCCGCCTTCTCATTCCCCCCCTCCTCCTCGTCCTCCTCCTCCTGCCCCTTCTCCCCTCCTCCTTCTCCTCCTCCTTGTCCTCGTCCTCGTCCTCCTCCTCCTCCTCCTCCTCCTCCTCCTCCTGCTCATCCTCCTCCTCCTCCTCCTCCTCCTCCTCCTCCTCCTCCTCCTTTGACCCCCCCCCCAACCACTGGGAGTGGAGGGCAACTTGGGGCCTTCGGATTAGATTGGCGTGGCTTGGTGGGTGGAGCAGAGATGGATAAGCAAAAAGGTAGTTAGAGAACGAGTTTCCTTAGGTGGCGCTGGCAGGTTTACTTGCTTGCCCCCCCACCCCTGCCTCTGCAGCGTTTTGCTTGGCGTTCCCCCCCTGCCTCTGCAGCGTTTTCAGACACCGCTGGGCCGAGAAGGCGTGCAAGCGAGTCCCGACTTACGCGAGGTGCAGACTTCCGTTCGGACCCCCTCCATGCAGGTAAACTTGCCAGAATCTGAAGAAACGCATGCACGCACCGATTCTGCTATTCTGCGCTCCTGCCAGGAGTGTCAAGGCGAAGCCAGTCGTGGCCACGAGGGCCCCCAGGAATTCCAAGAGGGCGAATACGAGGGAAGAGCAGCGGTGTCGGTCGGTCCTTCTCCCTCCTCTGAGGCACAGAGTCCAGCCATGGCGACGAGGGCCCCGAGGAGTTCCAAGAGGGCGAACACGACGGAAGGGTAGTGGTGCCAACAGTGTCGTTGACACGCCAACGCGGGGAATTTGCCGACGCGTTGCTGCTGAAGGAGCACCAGGCCTTCGGAAAGAATCGGGGACCTACTGACCCGGGTCGGTCCAAACCCGGGTCAGTCGGGCAATGCAGGATCCTGCACCCAAGCCCGGGCCAATGCGCTCCTGGCCCTGCAGGATCCTGCAAGCTCTGGCGCTCTGACTGACCCCTGTTTGCATTGACCCCCGTCTCTTCAGCCCCGAAAGACGCGACGGAGTATCACGCCGGCAGAATCCCCACGGCGGCGCGTCACTGATACTGCTTCGCCCTCCAGGGGCAAGGTGGCACGAGGGCGACGGGTCCTGCAGGAAAGGGGTGCCCTGGAGGTCTGCTTGCTGCCCTCGGGCCCCTCTGTTGGGCCTCGCCTCACGGGGGGGGCGATCAACTGGGGAGGAGAAAGGTGCAGCTTTGGAGCCTCAAAGCCCAATTTTGGGCCCTAAGGGGCCCCAGGGGCACTAGAGGGCCCCTTTTCTGCAGCCCTCGCTGCTCCCTCATTGACCTCATGCCGGGCGTGTCCCCCTACAGGGGGATTTTCGACGAAAAATAAAAAATGCCCCCAAAATACCCCAAGAAGGCCAAAACATGCTCAAAAAATAGTCCCCGGACTAGTTTTGGACTATGTATTATTATTGTTATTATTATTATTATTATTATTATTATTATGATTATGATTATTATTATTATTATTATTATTAATATTATTCTTATTATTATTATTATGATTACGATTATGATTATTATTATCATTCTTGTTATTATTATTATTACTATTATTACATTACTATTATTATGATTTTCGGTGTATTTTTTATTTTTCGTCGAAAATCCCCTCTGTAGGGGGACAGGCCCGACTTAGCATGAACCGCCCCCCCCATCTATCGCCGCCCAACTGTGGGGGCCTCCACGGGCTCCGGGGCCGTCAACAAAAACCACTCGGGACGAAGAGCTGGCCCTGGGGAGGGCCCCGGGGTCTAGTAGGAGGGCACCAACTATACACCAACACCGATCCTGGCCAGGATCACCCTGGGCCCAGGATCGGTGTATACGCCCTCCTGCCTTGCGCAAGAAGGCATATACACCGATCCTGGGCCCAGGGTGATCCTGGGCCAGGATCGGTGTTGGTGTATAGTTGGTGCCCTCCGATCTAGGACCAGTCTCCCTCAGGACCCTACAGAGCAGTTTTTACTACATGAGATTTATCTTGATATAGGATTGTTTAAGGCATGATTAATTTATGGATGCGTTCATGCAGGAACTCATCGTTGTTTTCAGTGCTAAATCCCAGCATTTTTACTGCACGAGCCGCACGCGGAGCATGTATTAAAAACGGCACTGTACTGATTTTTCATGACGAGCGCGAGGCGTCGAAGCCGTGCTGGTGAGAGGACGCAGGCGCCCGTCGACCCTCGCGCACAGCCTCGCAGGCACGGCACGAAGGGGACGAGATCTCCGGCCTCCGAGGAGCGCCTGCGGAGCACGGGAGGAACGTGTCCCACCCTGGCCATCGCTCGGACGTACATTTCCTGTGTTTTTTTTCGGTTTCGTGCGTGGTTTTTTCGCCAAATGAGCAAGGATGCTCCTCGATGGCCCTTACCGAATAAAAAATGCACACGTCCGAGCGATGCCAGGCACCTGCAGCTCCTGGGCGGTCTTCGCAAGAGCGACTATTAAATGAAAGCTACTGAGCCCGATCTGGGTGCCATTGAGCGAAGTTGGCCCGGACTTGCGCCCGGGATGGGACGACGCCAGATTATGCACGGGATCACGCTGGACTGAGCCAGATCCGGCTGGCTTTCGACAACAGAAACAAAAGAGCGTCGATGCTGAATTTAACCTCGCAGGAATTGCATCCCAATGCTTGCTCGCGTTTGGATGGAAAGGCAGGATGACTTCCCATATATTGCTTGCTCGCGGAGGCGGGGCAAAGGGAAAGCAGGCACATGGCGGGACAGACGGACACCACGTCGAGAAAAGTCTCGGACCCGAAGCCAGGTGGTCAGCGCCGCAGCGCTCAAACAGAATCTTGCCGTAGTTCGAACAAAATGCAGCTTCGAGTTCTTGCCGCGCCTCAGCGTCGATGGCAAAAACTTCCTCCGCCCGTTGGGTGAACCATCACTGCCTCTAACGTTCAAGAGTACAGAACTGCCATCATCATCATCATCATCATCATCATCATCATCATCATCATCATCATCATCATCATCATCATCATCATCATCATCATCATCATCATCATCATCGTCATCATCATCATCATCATCATCATCATCATCAGCATCATCATCATCATCATCAGCATCATCATCATCATCAGCATCATCATCAGCATCATCAGCATCATCATCAGCATCAGCATCAGCATCACCATCATCCATTCATCATCATCATCATCATCATCATCATCATCATCATCATCATCATCACCATCATCATCAGCATCATCATCATCACCATCATCCATTAATCATCATCATCAGCATCATCATCATCAGCATCATCATCATCATCAGCAGCATCATCATCGTCACCATTCCACCTCTTTCGCTGGGCAGGAAGGGAGCCGGAAGCGGAGGGCAGAGAAGGAGGAGGGGAGCTCGAAACGCTGCGAAGGAGGGTAGAGGAGGAGGAGGAGGAGGAGGAGGAGGAGGAGGAGGAGGAGGAGCTGCTGGCCTGGGAGGAGGAGGAGGGGGAGGAAGAGGAGCGGGACGGGAGGAGGCGGAGGAGGGGAGGGAGGAGGAGGAGGAAGGAGGAGGAGGAGAGGAGGAGGAGGAGGAGGGAGGAGGAGGGGAGGGGGAGGAGGCAAGAGGAGGATGAGGAGGAGGAGGAGGAGGATTGGAGGGGTGGAGAAGGAGGAGGAGGAAGAGGGGAGGAAGGAGGAGGACGAGGAGGTGGAGGGGGGGGAGAAGGGGGTAGGAGGGGGAGATGAGGAGGGAGGAGGAGGAGCAGGAGGAGGAGGAGGGAGGAGGAGGAGGCGGAGGAGGAGGAGTGGAGGAGGAGGAGGAGGAGGAAGAGGAGGAGGAGGAGGCGGGACGAGGAGGATTGGAGGA